CTCTTTCCCAGCAAGCTTTGGAAGTACAGAAGATAAATATTTTTTTTCTGAACTTACTACCATCAGGCAAGAGTACAGATTCATTCCCTCTGTTGTGTATGCTTAAAGTGTCTATTTTTAGCAAAGAGATGGAAACTAGCTCTTTTCAAGCCAGATCACAGCAAACGTTTTGCTTTCTTCCACTGCAGAACCAAAATGATACCAAATTAAAACTTACTTCATTTTTTTGTTTGTTTGTTTGTTCCAGGCAGCAGAACTTGCTGAATTCACTGCCAAGATAGCACTTCTAGAGGAGGCCAAGAAAAAGAAAGAAGAGGAAGCCTCAGAGTGGCAGCACAAAGTAATGAACTCATGCTGTGTGAAGTCAGAACTTCAAAGAAACTAAGGGGGATGAGTGCAGAAATCTTTCTGGAAGTCCATGGAGTTGAATCTTTCTTTCCCTTAGGCTTCAGAGAAGCCTTTCTTAAAGGTTTTTGTTTTCCAGTCTACTGAAGACAGCCTATATGTCTATTTAACTAATTTATTAATATTAAATAGTCATGAAGGGGCGGGGGAATCTCATTGTGAAGGTATGGTCAGAGATTTGAAATGGCTTCCTTATGTATGGTGATGAAATAGATTGGAGTTTCGTGTTGAAAAAGAAAACACCTCGGGAGGGAGGTGTATAAAGTCATGAGTGGTGGTGAAAAGATGAACCAGGACAATAACAAGGGCACACCAAATGTGAGTGGACAACAGTTAAAAGCGAAATAGTATTTCTTCACAAAATCTGTAATTAGCCATGGGATGTGAATACTAATTGTGAATACAGGTTCAAAAAAGTGATTGAATAAATTCTTGTAAGTTCTGGTTGAATATGAAATTTGAAGATGTCGCCTTTTGATTTAGGAAGTCCTTAAGCCTCAAATTTCAGGAGGCAAGGAAAGTTGGAAAGCAATCAGTATGACTGCCCTGTTCTCTCCCTCTTCTCTTGTCTACTGCAGGCAATTGCTGGACTCTGGTGCAGCTGGTTTTGAGTCGTACAGTGTTTTACCCTCTATTCCTATTTGACAATGTTCAGTGTGTAAGCTAGTCATGTCACTGATAAAGGACAGTATCCATGTGTCTGAAAACATCTCAAAAATTTAATTTTAGCTTTCTGACTACTCATAAATAATTTTAAAAGATGCTAAGTACTGCTTACTGTATTTAGGCTTTTGCAGCCCAAGAGGACTTGGAAAAGACCAAAGAAGAGCTGAAATCTGTGATGTCTGCTCCTCCTCCACCTCCTCCCCCACCAGTTATTCCTCCAACAGAGAACGAACACGACGAACACGATGAGAACAACGCTGAAGCCAGTGCAGAACTGTCATCTGATGGGGTCATGAATCACAGGAGTGAGGAAGAACGGGTAACAGAAACACAGAAAAATGAACGTGTTAAGAAACAACTCCAGGTAATGAAGACTCGTAGTTGTAGCAACATAAATCAGCCTTTGGGTTCTCATTCTTTATTTGCTAAAAATCTCATTGAAATTACGGTGTGCCAAGGAAACAGACTTTTTATAATTTACTAGGTTTATTACTAATTTACCAGTCGGTATCATTCACAGTATTCTAGAAGTGGAATAGAGAGAAAGATTGAATATAAGACTGTGCTTTAATCTTCAAAGTATTGGCATGTTGTCGCAGCGTCCAGGACACTGAATGTTAAAAAGTAATGCTTTCCTTTTTTCAATGCTGAAATTCATTAAGTGGTATGAACAGGTGCTTGCTTAATGGAGTTTGTGTTTATTTACAGTCATTCACAGGCATTGTAAAAACTGAATTATGCCCATTTTGGCTTAATCTTATTTCTCTGAAATGGAGCATTTCCTCCTAGACTAGACTTACCCCTCAAAGAATAAGAATCTATGCTAGAGGTAATGGTTTGCTGCCTTATGAAATATCTATTTGGGAAGGAAATAAAAGAAAGGGAAAGCTGCTTATTTTTCTGGCAGCAATATCTTAGTAGCATGTATGTGTAGTATCCTTTCTGCTTGGCCAGTCACTGAACAGCTGTCTTTAGTCAAGCAGAAATTGGAAAAATAAGGTCATTCTTCTGCTTTATCCTGCTGGTCCCTCTCTTCTTGGATGTTATGGTATGAGGCCTTTTTTTGAAGTTTGCCCACAGTTATGTAGGGAAGGAATCCTTTGCTCTCCTTCTTTCCCTCATCAGTCTTTCTGATAAACCTCACAACTTGAGTAACTGAACAGCACTGCGAGCGTTTCATAAGTTGGTATTCAAAAAATCTGTATCCGAGTTGCAGAGTAGTTATCAGAAATTCCAGAATCATTAAAAGAATAGACAAAGCACTTAAATGCAAATATTTTATTCAACAGGCTTTAAGTTCTGAGTTGGCTCAAGCCAGAGATGAAACCAAGAAAACACAAAATGATGTCCTTCATGCTGAGAATGTTAAAGCAGGCCGTGATAAGTACAAGACTCTTCGACAAATCCGACAAGGCAATACAAAGCAGCGTATTGATGAGTTTGAAGCAATGTGAGAGCTGTTATTTTGCATATATGTTCCTCGTAAAGCTGAACCACCAACAGAGAAAAAAGCAGGCCTTTGCAGATTTGATGGATTGCATCCCACTTTGCCAAAGCACTTAATACCGGTTTGACTACAGTGGCTAGAAGACAAATTTAGGGGAAGCTATTCAACAGAACGGCAGTCTGTCATCCCTAGCTTTTTGGGGGGGAAGGGTGTGGAGAATTACAGCAGGTTTTTTCCCCATCATGTTTTCAGTTTCATTGTTTCATATCTTTTACTTTGAAAACTGATGTGAAAGTATATGATGACTGACAAGTGTATGTATTGCGTAAACATTAAGAAATAGAAAGAAGAATGGAACTGAACCTAAACTGGATAGGTACTATTTCAGTGTGAAGTTCGAAATTACATTTTTCAGTGTAGCTGCACCATTAAGAATTTATCATTGCTGACTTTTGGTTTCATTTTTATTCACCCAAGTGAAACTCTGTGGTGTTTCATGTCCCGTCATCATTGATGGTTTTCTTTGCCTACCTGTTCACAAAGGTCTGGATGGCAGGTGGTAGTTCCAGGAGATGTTTTGAAATGGAACGCTACCTGTGGGCAGCATGTGGCTGCTGATAGGCTTGAATAAGTATTGCTTTTCCTAGGTAATTCTTTTAGATGCGCAAAATGTTCTAACGCAGCAAAGGGAGAAAAAAAACCACAAAGCTTCGTGTGCTATTTGCTTGTAATTATTTTATTTGCAGTAGGGAGACCTGGACCTTTCTGGCAAGGGAGCATATGAAAACATCAGTCCCAGGGAGGGGACAGTATCCTACCTCACTACTATATACATGATGACTGGTCCTTCAAACACCATGAAAAAAACCTGTTTGAATTGACTATCGCTAGGCAGTGATATCAGAGAATGCTAGGAGCCCTGTCGCCTCAGATTTTCTTTTACTTCAAGAAGGATTTATAGTGCTAAGTACTGTCTTACTGCCTTTAGTTGTAAAAGCACCTTGTGTGTTTTAAAGCTGTAATCAGTCACTGGTATACGATCTCCTGGGAGGGGTGTAAAATGTGCATGTTGAGTTAGTTTGGGTTTGAGTTCCCAAATACGAAACGAAAGTTCCCAGAATTGGAGTAAAAGTCTTTGTAGCTTCATTTTTCAGTGAAGCTAGCTTTGTCACTGTCATATCTGATGTCAGATCATTGTAATTAAGTCCTTTCTCTCTTGAAAAGGACACCTGCTTTTTTGAGAAATTTGTTTAGAAATTGAACTTTACAACTAATTTTACAGTTAATGTGGACTGCAGTAATTCCTTCTGTTATAGTACCCTAGTAAATATGTACAATAGAAGAACCCTGCTTTCTCTGAGGATGGTTCAGCTCTTTTCTGTTTGATATTATGCACTCATAAATTTACACTTATCTATTAAAATTTGCCATTTTATTAAACATTTTTTTCATGCACAATAGGTTGGAATTTCTTATGAACAGCCCAACTAAGTTTTTTCTTTTTTATTTTGCGGAGTTAAAAGCTGGCTATGTGGGGTGACATCATGAAAATAAAATAAAGATGCATTAATATATTTTTGGTTTGTGGCGCTAAACATATCTGAGTGACCTTGGAGACTGATGTGCAGATGGTGTGCACATACTTCAAAATGCTGCTTGGTGGAAGTTGGTGTTTCTACTGCAGTGCTTCGTAAGAACAGTTCTTGTTTCCCAGGCTTCATACACCGAAGCTTAAGCAAATTTCTGAAGTATTCGAACAGTTTTGCCATAGCAGGTGAAATACTGTGCTTCCAGTGAGTTTTCATTTTTCCCTGGACAGTGTGCACTAACACTGATACATCAGTTTCAGTGTTGGGGGGGGGAAACCCCAGTAAAGTTTGCTGTTCATACATCTACAATATATAGAGTAGGGCTAAATGGGTTAGATCCATTTATAAAGCTGTGTGATTTTTTTTTTCTCCTAAACAACCAGGAACAACCATTTGTAATATGGATTTTCACAATGAACAAAGTGGTAATAGCTGCTGTCACCAGCAGTTGGGAACACTTACTAGTACGGAAATACTAAGAATACATTTAATGATTACTTGGTGAAGTAATTTTCCACGTGCTTTTTTCTTTAGCATCATGTTTTGTGTTGTACAATTAAGCTACAATTACATCTACTATTTTGGATAACATTCATTGGTTAACAATAAAGAGATACAGTTAATTTCTCTGAGCTCCATTGTTGTTATTTAACACACTTTTTTCTCACAGCTTTGCTAAATGCACTGTAATAGCCTTTTTCCAGAGCAGTGCACAGATTCTGATCATCTTCTGTTTCACAGTCTGGTCAAAATGAAATATTTTCAAATTGTATCCCTGGAAAAGGGTACTGTGCTTAAGAAATTACTACATACAGTTAGGAGGAAGCACTGGTGACTGTCAATTCTAAACAGGATGTGAATCATCAGAGCAAATTGGCTTTCTTGAAAACAGGGTAATTTGGCCACATAAGAGCTCTATGGGTAATGTAAGAACTTTCAATCACTGCCTGCATATTGCTTAGCCCCAGGTTAAGAGAAATTTAATTTAATAGGTCAATGTCTTAGGTATTGAGAAACCTTGATGTTTTTCTGATACCGCACGTTATAGTGGAGAGTGCTGCCAAATACACGTGGCCATATGCCTTAGAAAAGGGCAAGTTTGTGGGCTTTTTCACCTAAATACACTTGGAGATGGCAGGAACCAGTCCCATATAAATAGGTATACAAATGAATCTGCTAAGCAGCTCTCACAAAAATGAGCCCTCCTCTCTTTGTCTTGTATTTGTTTGGCCTTGCACTCAGTACATACACATGGCCCTTCCTGGGATTTGGCAGAATCACTGTAATGATTTAAAACATGTGTACCTGATACTTTTAACTGTGCGTGTTTCTAGTTTTATACTTCTCATCTT